TCTCTCTCTCTCTCTCTCTCTCTCTCTCTCTCTCTCTTTCTCTCTACCCTACTCCTTGAACCTATCCCGACACCTTTATTAGTCAACCATCTTGACGTTGTTATTGATGTTGTAACAGCTATTATTAATGATTCACCCCTTTCAGGAACGGTGTCTTCGTGTTTTAAAGACGCAGTCGTAACACCTCTACTAAAAAAAACAGTTGTTATCCTTGCTTGAGTTTAAAAACTATAGGCCGGTCTCTAACCTACCATTTTTGTCTAAAATCTTAGAAAAAGTTGTTCAATCTCAATTAAGAGCACATCTTGAAGTAAATAATCTTTTAAAATGTTATCAGTCGGCCTACAGAGCGTTCCATAACACAGAGACTGCACTTTTAAAAGTCCAGAATGACCTCCTTTGTGAAGCAGACGAAGGCAAAGTGTCTGTTCTTGCCTTACTCGATCTAAGTGCTGCATTTGATACCATAGATAATTCAATTTTGATCAGGAAGTTAGGCCATAGCTTCGGCAGGGGCGGCTCGTGGGGTTAAAAAGTGGGCGTGCACAATTAAGCAACAGCAGGTTGAAGATAGTCAAGGGCATAGTAAATGGGATGGTGGGATCTTTGAGTTGGTGAAGGAGGACCTTATGCTTTTATTTTCATTCTTTTTGCTGGTCGCTTTGATTTCTAGAACTAAATCTGTTTGTTAGCTAAACATCAATTTCCTTTATTCCGCATCGGAACTGAACACCCGAGTAATAACTTTCACCACTCCACTACAAAACCATTCAAAGGCAAAACACATAGGGTGGTGACTTAAGTATGTCACGTTCACCCCCCTCAGGTTCAAGGTCACAGAGTCGCTTAAAATAGCGGTAAGACAATGAACCAATCACAATTCATTTGAGCACTCCGCTGGATTGCTCCGGGGATCACATAATTGTGGCATTCTATAGTGTACAGGCTATCGCGTTTATTTTTAGACTGCCTACTGTGGGCTATGTTTCGTGGGTGCACATTTGAGATGTGCTGTCTTGTTAATATTAATGTACCGCCAAACTCGCTACGAGTGACGTCATCGCTTGGGTTATCCCAAAGAGCGATTTATAGGTCAGATTGTCACTGTTGCATATTCTATTACGTCTAGTTAAAGCGCCTGGACTTTGGCATGGCATAGTCTACTATGTTTTACGGCGCTTTTGACACAGAAATGACAGTTACAGCGCCAGCGAGGACCTTGTTTCGATATTATGTTTGGCTAGTGTTTATTTCTGACGTCTTTAATTTCATGTTTGTGGGTGCTTTTCGTAAAATAACATTAAAAAAATTTGGGTGACACTGCACGACCGTGCTCTATGGACGAACCGCGCCTGAGCTTCGGCCTATCTGGGACTGTTCTTGAATGGTTTGAGTCCTATTTGTTTAATCGTACACAGTCTATACTTGTAAATGGTGAAATGTAATCCATTTTCAGCTTGCAATTTGGCGTGCCCCAAGGGTCCGTGCTCGGACCACTCTTATACACACTATTTACAAAGCCCTTAGTTTCAATATTAAGGAATTTCATAATTAGGAAGCACGACGTTAACTACCACATGTACGCGGACGACACTCAGCTATACAAGTCTGTTTTACCAACAAATTTCAATTGTCTAGTTACCAGCATGTAAAAAGGTATTGTGGAGGTAAAAGAAATGGATGATATCAAACAGACTCAATATGAATGATGATATGACCGAAGTTCTGTTTTGCAATGCCAAACAAGGGATGTTGCTTTGCAGTTTTGACCATATATGTCTTGGGAATGATAACATCTTTTTCACAGATAAAGCAAAAAATCTAGGCGTTTATTTTGACTGAAAACTCTCTATGCACCATCATATTATAAACCATCTATGTAAGGTAATTTATCTAGAACTACGCAGAATAGGACACATGTCAACATATCTTAGTGTTGATTCCATCAAAAGCCTCATCTCTTCTTTTGTCCTTTCACGTCTAGACTACTGCAATTCTTTGTTTGGAAACCTTCCCACTGAAACGTTAAATGGATTACAGCGACTCCAGAACCAAGCTGGTCGCATAATTTTAAAGACATCTCTCAAAGAGCAAACACCAATGCTAATTCAACTACATTGGCTCCCGGTGAAAGCACGAATTCAGTACAAAATAATTGTTCTTTGTTTTAACTGCGTCAACAACATTGCACCATCATATCTTTGTGACATGGTCATCGAAAATATACGATCTCGACCATTATGATCGGCGACGAAAAGACTTTTAAAACCTGTCCAAAGCAAAAGTCAGAGACTCGGGGGGAGAGCTTTTTCACACCACGCCCCCTTCCCTGTGGAACGCTTTACCAGCTCATCTACGGGAGTCCACCACTATCAAAATTTAAATCAGCAGTTAAAACGCATTTGTTTCAGTCCAGCTTCAATCTGTAATTTCCGACATTCCCAATACAAATATTGTTATGTTCTCTCAGTATCTATTATGTTCTCCCAGTATC